CCATACCAGAGGCAAATTTCTTCAACTTTGAAAACTCATCATCAGGTAAGCAGCGATAAAATTCAAAAAATTTTCCTTCTCTGTGCTTCTCTTTCAACAAGCCATTTACTTGCAAATCAATGAGCTCCAACTGTAGTTCGACTGGCACGTCATCAAGGTTACAATCAAACGGATTCTGGAACAGAAGAATGTCACCCTCAATTCTGTCGAGATCTGAAAATCTCTCCAAAAAATGCTTATTTAAGTCACTAATAATCTTCTTCGGAAACTCGAGGTTGACATCTTTTGTGATTCCAGGGTGAAACTCTTTGAAACACTGAAAATGAGAGAAGGTTCCTCCTTCCAGTTGTGCTTCAAACAATGATAGCTTTCTCTGAAATCCTTTGATGATTCTGTAGAGATCACAGATAAGGTTATCCTTTCCCTGAAGTTTCAAGTTCAATTCATTCATGTGGGATGTGATGTCAACCAAAAATGACAACTTTGACAGCCAGGTAGAATCTGACAGAAGTGGATCAGCTCTATCCTTTTCGGTGAGAAAAATATCTGTTTCTCTTCGGAGCTTATAAAAACGAAACAGGACTTTACTGCAGCTGAGCCACCTCACTGCTGTGTGATAAGGCAAGTCACAGAATTCAGAATCAATTTCTTCAAGTAAAGTCTGGAACTGGCGGTGATTAAGTGCATGTCTCGGAATGAAGTTCACCGCAGAAACGACTGGTTTCAGTACGCAAGAGGACTTAAAACGCTAGAATCCGAGTTTCGATACCCGTGGTGGGAAGAGCACAGATAGCCCATTGTGTAGCTTTGTGCTTGATTACAAACAAACAAACAATCTAATTAAAATTAGGGAAGGTTACACGCAGAAAGCCTTTTTGCAGCTTTGCCTATACATTCTAAAGCAACAACAACAACAACTAAAAAACACACTAAAATGAATCGAGTATTTAGAAAATATATTGCCAAAACGAACTTATATTCGTTAAAATTTCACAGCGATATATTTAGGTAATTTACTGCTTTAAAGATAATTTTAGTGTTCTTGCTATTAAAAGGGAATAACTAGTTAAAGTCTCACAGTGATAGTTAATGGAATACCTGAGAAGAATGAACCTGTTGCTTTTTTGTGGTTGTTGAATTTTGCGCAAAGCTACTGTGAAGGCTATCTCTAATTTAGAAGAGGTAGAGCACCTAGTTGACACAATCCCCACTAACTCTTGGGGTACTATTTACCAACGAATAGTGGGATTGCCGTCACATTATAACATTCCCACGGCTGAAGGAGGGAGCATGTTTTGGTCTCTTATACTTTTGCTGATGTCATCTAATTAAAATCTTGCTAATGGCTACTAGAGTTGTTTGATTTAGAATGTTAATCACAGTTAGCTTGAAATTATTCAAAAATGTTGGCTTTTGATTATAGTAATAACTTCTATTTTTAAAACTAAGAGATTATCATTAAATAAAATTTTAATAAACGTTTCAGAGTATTATTATGACTTCATCTAAAATTATATTATCGGAAGCCACTTAACTACGAACATGCGAAACAATTTGTTGTAATTTTGAGCTGCATGTTTACTGTTTTGAAGATAGCTGTAGAATATCACAACATTGTAATACCGCTGAAACCTCGCCGTTTTAATATTTAATCAGGCTATAATTACCTGGCTCTAAATGAGTTAAAACTCTATTTATTTTGCATTTACTTACAGACGTGGCTACCTTATACTCCTAGAGTTATGGGTGTAAAACTGTAAGTAAGCACACTGCAAATTAATTGAATACATATACCATTACAAATGTTCCAGATTTTTCCACTCTTGGTTAGCTAATAAGTGTATCAGTGAAGGTACGAAACCGGTATATGTGTGTCGCTTTACATATACAAAAGTGTTTGTTGTGTATCATATGTATCACTTTTAATTAGATGTTTCTTTCATTCACATAATTAACATTTTGAATCGCTCTTTTTTCCAGTATGCAAACATAAAGAAGTTTTTTTAAGTGCTCTGAGAACAAAACAAAAAAACGAAGTATATTTTTCAGCGATGTCTTTGAATGAATAATTACTTTTATTTGATTTAATTAAGGAAACATGAAATTTTTAAAGTATTAAATAGTGCCCCCCCCCCCAGTGACACAGCGGTATGTCTGCGGACTTACAACGCTAGAAACTGGGTTTCGATATACGTGGTGGGCAGAGCACAGATAGCCCTTTGTGTAGCTTTGTGCTTAACTACAAACAAACAGTTAAATGGTGTGAAGATTTGCTGCAAAGCAATTTGAAAAAAAAAGAAGAAAAGGATATTGAATCAGTTTTGTTTTACTTAAGAAACAAAATGTTCTTTTTACATCCAGAGCGAAAAGGCATTGGACGGATCCTCAGCTAACGGAGGAGAAAACGTTAACCATGGTCAAATCATCTTTGGTGTCAAGTACGAAGCTGAAGGTGGCCAAAATAGTGGACAACTTGTGCTTTTGATAAAGGTATGTAAAATGACGGAACTTTTTCCAAAATTTGTAGTTATTCCAAACTGTTTTGGCACACAACACTGAAGACGGTTACCTAAATGTAGGTACTGACGTTTCTCTCTTCCACGGCTAGGTGGTTAGGGCGCTTGACTCGCAATCTGAGGGTCACTGGTTCGAATCCCCGTCACACCAAACATGCTCGCCCTTTCAGCCGTGGGGGCGTTATAATGTGCGATCAATCCCACCATTCGTTGGTAAAAGTGTAGCCCAGGAGTTTGCAGTGGGCAGTGATGACTAGCTGCCTTCCCTCTAGTCTTTCACTGCAAAACTAGGGACGGCTAGCGCTGATAGCCTTCGTGTAGCTTTGCGCGAAATTGAAATCAAACTTAACCTCTCTCTCTGCACGTATATGTACATCAAAGCCTTTTGGCTTTATTGTTTGCTAACATAAAATTGATAATGATGTCTTTCAAGCATAACTAAAGATCCAAACGTGTTGTTATGACAATTAGAATGAACAAATTAGCGGTTAGGGAACATAAAAGCTCACGTTGGTTAATTAAATTCATATCATAACCCAGCTGAAAACTGTACTTATCCAAATTGAGTTATTATATTTCAGTTAATAACTTGTGCCATCGAAAGTTCAACCTTTCTATTACTAAGATATCAAACAGACGTTTATGGCCATAATGAGTATGTTTGTGTCAACTTCAATTTTCATTATTCACGGAACTTTCATTGACGAGGCCCGGCATGGCCAGGTGGCTAGGATGCTCGACTCGCAATCTGAGGGTCGCTGGTTCCAATCCCCGTCCCTCCAAACATACTCGCCCTCTCAGCCGTGGGGGCTTTATGATGTGACGGTCAATCCCACTATTCGTTGGTAAAAGAGTAGCCTAAGAGTTGGCGGTGGGTGGTGATGACTAGCTGCCTTCCCTCTATTCTTACACTGCTAAATTAGGGACGGCTAGCGCAGATAGCCCTCGTGTAGCTTTGCGCGAAATTCAAAACAAACAAACAATTCACTGACGTTAGTGAAATATAATTGTTATAAAAGGTTCTAAGACATTTTCGATAATGAAATGATATACTTCTACTTTGTAACAACATTAAATATGGATATATTCATCAATGCCCTCATGTTGATATTGAAAAACAAAACAAAAACGAGAGTTAAGTTTATGTGCTTGTTAACTGTTAAACACAGAGCTACACAATGGCTGTCTGCGATATGCCCATCACGGGTATCGAAACCTGGTTTTTAGCGTTATAAGCCTTCAGACAGGGGTGGGGTAGAGCTAAGTCTAGCTGTACAGCTAGATAACCCTAAACACTATTTCACAATGACAAAAAAAGCCAAAAGTGTAAAAAACAACTGAGCCAAAGTAATTGATTAAACTTTCAATCATGTTCAATTGAATACTAATATTTAAAAAATAGCATAATTTTAGAACATCATCATTTTGTATGTAAGTAATATCCGCATGTATGTAATATCCGCTATCATTAATGGGTTATACTCGTTTTGTTATTCAAAAATAGAAAAAGCTGTACTCAGTAGAGTGAAGTATCAGTCTACGTAAATGAAACCTGAATATATGTTTTTACAAAGTAATTAACACGAAAACAAGTCTTTTTGTTGTTGTTGTTTTCTTCCAAGTGAAGACATAAATATTGAGTAACAATATTTATTAGTTTGTATTGTCAGCCTGAAGAACGTTATGTAAATTTATAAAGTAATGAACGTGATTATTTGATATTTTTTTTAATTTGCAAGCGAATACATAAAAAAATGAACAAGACATTTTTCGGGTCTCATGCTAACGTAAAAAAAGCTTGTTTCTTTTTTAATAAAAAGCTCATAAAAAACTAGCTACGCTAGCTGTCTCTAATTTAGAAATGATAGTTTAAAGTGAAGGCAGTTAGTCAGCAGCACCCACCGCCAATTGTTAGGCTACTCTTCTCTAACTGAATAATGTAATTTGACTCTCACCCACGGCGTCACGCTTGGGCCCAGTCTTAAAGAGCGTTATGCATATTTATCACGTAATGAACATGAGCATTGGATATTTTATGATTATTCGCTAGCCGAAGACGTAATAAATGAACAAGGCATTTATGAGCTCCGAAAGCAGCCTAAAGAGTATTAAGTATATTTATTGAGCACTAAACATTGTGTGCAAGAAACTTCAAGTGAAATAACACTACGACTAACGTTCGGAAGAGGATTTTTTGACGAATGCGGTAAACACACAACCTTTTATGCTTACAAAATTATACTTACAAAACCAGAACAACTGGTAAAGATTCCTTTTCTCCTAGGACTTCACTGCAACTTCTAAGTAAAGTTGCTTTTTATATTTTGATGTAGACACGACACGAAAGTTCCAAAACAAAACAAAAAATGAAATACACGCATTACATGTTGTCCAGCACCTTCTATACTAAACATAAAATGCCCATGATTTTTAACTGATTCTGTTTTGGAAAGAAATATTTCCACTCCAATGGGGATTTCGTCTCCCGATGGGACAGCGATAAATTTACGAACATGCAACGTTAAAATCCGGGGCTCGATTCTCCGCGGTGGACACAGAAGATAGCCCAATATGGTTTTGCTCTAAAACAGACAGCAACAGATGCAAACAACATCGATGGAACACGTGTGTAATGTATATATTTTATATTCTTTCTTCAAACAAGTATTACCACTGTAAGCTGTAACTCTTTCCCTTGAAAGTGTTATGCATCTTTGGATTTTTACGCCTAATCGAATAAAGCATTTTATTTTTGTACATTTATACACGGGTTTGTATTTAATACGTAATATAGGTCTTGATGTTCTTATATGAATAAATTTATCCATAAATCGAAGAGTCATCGGAACGCAATAATCCATGATTTGCAAGTCTTAAGAATTCCAAGGAAATGTGATAAGTTTAGTGACCTTACGCGTGGTTCCATATCTTCAAAACATATATTCTAACAGAAAACAAATAAAACACTCATCCACTTAGCTCTGCACAGTGTTAGCTGTAGGATCTTCCAGCAACAATAGGGAATATATAGTGTTTTTATATATACAACGTACAGTAATGGAAACAAACAAGCCATGCATGAGTCACATACAATGAGTAATGGCAACTAAAATATGAAATTATTAATGGTACTAAACATTATCACAGAAAATGTGAAAGAAAAGCAAATGATTTGTACAGTAAACTAATGAGAGCCCTTTCTCTTTCTCACACAGAATTACACCTTGTTTTCATGATGTTTTACAGGTTGTTAAAGTACGATTATAAAATATTGTTCCAACTTTCCTGTATTACTTCACGCAATTTAGTAAAGTTGTTTTGGATGCCTTTTGACCTCCTTAGTTTTGACACAAGTCTATTCAGCCTCAAGAACGTTCATATCAGGACTTTGTGAAGGCCAAGCCATGGTAGTTAGTGTTCCATCGGCCTCTTTACGGTTCAGATATCGTTTTAACACATTTTCTGTACGCTTGTGTCTTTGGAACATTATCTTGCTAGAAGATTAATCCCCACTAGACAAGTCGTATTCCTGAAGGAATGGCATAATGGCTCTGAATGATACCGTACTAGTTAGCAGTCAGTTTTGTGTGGATCACCGAGACACCGTTGACTGAGATACAGCCACAAACTTCTACTGATCTTCCAACATGATACATTGTGGATTACGTACATTAGCTATGATATAATTTATCTCTCTGCCATCAAATAAACTGTCTTTGATTGTTGACTAACAATTCAAATTTTGATTTATCTGTAAAAAGCACACTTCACTGTTTGCTGTCTGATACTTAATTCAACCTTCGGATGAGGTTACCTGTTCTCATCCGCAGTTTTCAAGCAGCTATCTGCACGTTCATTGAGACCACTTCCTATTGATTTTATCTTATTTTTCTAAAAGTAACATTCGCACCTGTATTTACAGCAGGGTCGTTGACAAAATCGGCATTAAACCGCCGTCTATCTCATAAAGAACATGCCCTGAGATGCTCAATATGACTTTTGGAAAGTTCTGGTTTTCTATCTCGATCATCTCTATTATTAACTGTTACAATTTCACATACTCTATTCAGAATCTTGTTTACAGCTAATGCTGAAACTTGGAGACATGTAATAATTCGCATGGAGTATCTACGTGTTTGCCACGCAGTATTTCAGTCATGACTGAATATCCACTACAACTATTGGGCATAGTATGACTTCCTGTACGTTTTGTAGGCTTTATACCGGTGCATAAGGCATCATTAACACGTGATAACTGTACTCTGGTTCATTTCATTTTCGTACGATTTACATTTTTTACCCATTTACTTCAACATTTCTATAATTATTTCTGCACCTCTGCTTCGATAGAATGCGAGCGTTGGGGTCCATGACTTAAGCTCACGCTAAAAACATGTTCGTGTTAAAGACGATTTGATCTTAAGAAAATTACTCCACCCACCTACCCTACATGCTAACTTTGTATTCATCACGTATTTTATGTAATTGTCTGGCATCTGTCTATTTTACGACTGATGACTTTGATTCAATTTGTACGTTAAATGACTATGGTCTGAGTGAACTAATTTAAAGCTATTTATTAATTCTGTTTCTGCGTTCCCATCTCCATTACGTGGTAGTTACATGAAATTCTTGCGTCGTGAGAGTCGCTCTTCTGTTTTTTAAGTTACTCTAAATTAATTGAGTTTTGTAATACTGTAGATTCATTGGTTAATGACTTCATTTAATTGCTGTGTTGCATATAATTTTCTCGGTTCTTTGTTACTGATATGGCTTTTGTTCCAGATTGGACTTAATTTAACACACATACTTGTACATCGCTTTTCTTTAGCCGCAGCCTAATGGTGATTGGCCATAATCACTCTGTAGCACTTGCACTACTGTACAAAATCTTGAACACGTGATTTTACGACCAAATTTCATTGTCATACCTTGATTTTAAAAGAATGGTGTTTTTTAATATCTTGAATTCAT